GCGTATCCGCTGTTGGGGAATATCATCTACCTATATATTGGGATCTACCTCTATATTGGGTATCATCGTATCCTATCACTATATTGGGTATCATCGTATCCCCAATTTAAAATACTACTCAAATGTAACTCGTGCATGTCACGGAAATGAATGTATTGTTGCCCTTTATGCTCAGTATCTTGAGGTTCCATCCATGTCGGTGTCTTTTCAGGTGAAGGACTGCCTGTATGACTCCAGCAGTACTGGGATACATTTGGGGGCCCGATAATTTTGTAAATAGCTGTATATGGAATATATAAGGACTATGGTCCATAACAATTGAACATCATTCCGAGGCATAACGCAGAGAACAGTATCCGTGCACTTTGCGACGCTTGGATGTGAGCTGAACGGAATCAAAACGCCTCGTGCCTCCGTCCTACACACTAGCCGCTGAACATCCAAACCCTAAACCCTAAACCCCAACCCTAAACCCTGACCGTTACCTAAACCTGAAACCCTTCAAATGTCTGGTCCCTAATCATGACCATCCTGGATCCTTCAAGCTGTAAGCTCCTAACCTTAAACCCCAAACGCTGCACCTCATTCCCTGAACCCGAGCCCACAACTAATAAGGGTATAGTCCCCCTTAAGTAGATAGAATATGGCTTTGGGTATAATATTATAACAAGGTCCCAACATATCCCATATTCTATCTACTAAAAGGGGACTGTCCGTAGTAAATAATGTAATTTAATTCAAGTTCCTTGACAGCAATGCAGTAAACCTCTGTCCCTGAACCGGAGCCCCAAATCTTCCACCCTAACGCCGCATTTGGAAGCCATGTCCAGCGGGAGGCAAACCTTCCCTCACGACAACAATTTAGGGTTTAGGGTTTAGCGTTTCTTGCAAAGGTACAAACAGACACTCAAAAACATGGAAAACATCACTGGCAAATCCTTAAATTCATCTGCCCACTAAGCCCTCAACCCGAAAAGCATCGGCACCAAACTCCTGGGGCGCAAGCGCAGATGGTCCGCACAAACACCATCGTAGTAGAAAGGCATCCAGACCTCACTGCAGGTGCTTGGGGTTTAGGGCTGCCTTGCCCGCCCTGTTGAGGGTTTTTGGTTCGAGCACCTTCAAGATTCTATCTTCTTGGTCACCAGTTTTTGGATGCAAAGTATGCGGGTGAGAGGTTTGCAGCTCATACACTTCCCCAAGCGTGCATAAAATGCAAACGTTCAGGGTTTAGGGATCATCCAAAGCGCCTTACACTTCAGTTGATACTAAGCATCCTACATGACAGTACTTACGGGACCACAATTCCCGAAGTTTACGGTACTTGGGTCGTGAGTGGTAGTAGCAACCGCGCCAGTAGTTGCATGGAAAACAAGATCTCGAGTTGCACGCCCTGCAGAAAATGCAACGTCCAGGTGCCCAAATTCAACGCCCTCACAGGGCCATAATTTCCCTGAACACTGTATACCCCTCCCTATCCTACCCCATATAGACCTAAACGAGCCCTCATCTAGTTCTACCCTGACTTGCTGACACCCGTTCGGCTGTCTCACGCGCTACAGTAACGACTTTGACTTCGGTCCGTAATATATGAACCCTTGTAGTTGGGTCACAATCACCCACCCTAATCGATAAGTTTTAGAACTGCTTCTCTTACTTCCTGGCTCCCCTTCCTGAACTAAACTCTGAAGGACCAAAAAACCAAGACACTGACGTAAAAACAAGGTCCGAAGAACTGAACCCTGAACACTGACCTTTAGGCCTGAACCGCGAGCCCTACAAATTCAACAAATCACCTATCACCAAACCGCTACTGAGTTGGGGTCCGTCTTACGGCGGTACGATTGAAAGTACCTGGGGCGCTTTCTAAAAAAGGATGGTCCCCCTTCCAAGAGGTCTCTAAGGATAAGGGAGGTTCGAGCTGTAAGGTTTGTGATCCGAGGGTTTGGTCTTCAAACTTGCAACTTGTGTCTGGTCAGGAGAACTTACCGCATGTAGGTAAGACGTAAGACTTGGGTTTGAAAGTCTGTAGGGTTGGGGCGTAGGATGCAATG